CACCATCTGGCAAACTAATGATAGTGAGTTATCTTAGGGCTTTGAGGTGGACGAGGCGACCGAACCCCTGCCTCTATAGCGCCTTCCTAGAACAATGCTTTTGGAATTTTCTTAGTAGTGTGTGGTAGGTTGAACCTACTTGAAGGGACTAAGAGAGCATCACTAGCGAGGAAACTTAGATCGAGGTGACATTGGGTCTTTGTGGGTAACGCTAGAAGGTGGGAGAAATCCCAGATCAGATAGTTTCGTACCTTATCCATTACCTCAACGTACCGATTATAAATAGGGGAATCTCCCAACCACTTGGTTGGTTGTTTACTTTGCCTTTAGGAGTAGATTAGATTAGACTTATCACCAAACCTTTGAACTGATTAGATAGTAATTCGGAGCGAAGTAATAGTAAGCTTAGGGTTCCTTTGGAATACGATCGAGCCCCTTTACTATAACCCTAACTAGGTTATGCTTGGCTTAGTTAGGATTGAATAGAGATTGTGTATCGACTTATAAATTTAAAACTTGATCACACAAGCGATCAAGTTTTTGGTGTCATTGCCGGGGAATCTCAAGTTTGTGTTCTTGATGTCGTATTTTATTTTCCTTATCATTTCTTCTTTTGTTATGTTCCATTTAGTTATTGTAGAAACCAGATAGCTCAATTAGTACGATATTGTCCGCTTTGGGCCAAGCCCGCACGGTTTTACTCTTGGGAGTCCTTCCCAAAAGGCCTCGTACTAATTGGGCTAAGTGGACACTTATATACAAGAGTTCCTTCTCTTCTTGTATTACCGATGTGGTATTTGGATTGTCCCATAACAGTTATCTTGTGTTAAGTGTTTGTTCATTTTCCGTTTTCTATTCTTTTTACACTTGTGCTTTCATAGCTTGTTTTTATTTTTGTGAATATAGATAGTGTTTAGATGTAGCTATGGTTCCATATGGTTGGCAAGAGAAATGAGGAGATCACCAACCGTCGTATTGGTGTTATCTTGAAGCTTCTAGTAGTGGTGCTTGCCAAGGATCCAGGTTCGGACTCGAAAGAAGAGAGAAAAGGAAGCGAGATTGAAACAGAAGACGTATAATGCTCTAGGGCTGGATATTTGGTCCAGGCTTTTCGGTTTTACTCGAAACTGGACTGTATAACTCGGACCAAGATCAGACTGGACCGAAAACCGGATAAGTGAGCCCAACACCCAAAACTTAACCAACTCCTCATCCTTTTAGGCCTCAGGCAACTCAAATCCCCACAAGCTAAATCTAAAATCAAGACCAAATTGGGACCGGGCCGGATCAAGACCGGATTGTATCCAATCCAATCTTTGGTCCTTATATTCCCAAAAACACCGGACCAGTACTGGATCAATTCGATCCAATTTAACCGGACAGGATTGTTTTTTTTTTTTTTGCAAAATACACTTGTATAGCCAAAACTTTGACGGTTTGGCCAAGTATAGTCACTTATGTCCAATTCTTTAACGGTGTCAAGTAACGGGCTGACTGGACTAACTACATTGCTGAGTTGGCGACTGTTAGTCAATTAAAAATACGAGGTGGAAACTAAAAATAAATATTTTTTATTATCTCTCCGTCTCTCTTCTTCCCCATCCCTTTCCCAGTCGAAACTCTCATTCAATTAAAATTCGTCGTCAGTGCTCCCTCGTGTCAATCAATCGAAGGGCATCAACTTCCTCCCATCGCTGCAAATCTGGGTTTCTGAAGATAGATCTCGAAAGCGTCAAATCTGGGTTTCAATCGAGAAGATGAAGTCAGGGGAAAAGAAGATGAAATTTGGTTTTCAATCAGAGAAGATAAGTCAAATATGGGTTTCAATCTCCCTCCGTCCTTCGATCTTCCCCTTCCTTTCCCTCCGATCTTCCTCTCACATGCATCATTGCCATTCTCCGATCTCCGATCTTCCACCTCTCTCTTCCTTCCGATCTTCCCACAAATCTGTAGTGTCGCGACAGTTAGAATCCAAAGCACCGTTGACCAAATTTGTAAACCCCCAAATCCACATCTGGACGGGGGCACAGAAATAGTTGCGACAGCGAGCTGGGCGCGGGGATTACATAGGCTCGACGACCACAGATTTTCAGAAGGTGGTGGCATGAGTGGAAGGTGATGGGGATGCCTCTGTTCTCATAATGGTGTTCCCAAATCAACTAGATACAGGGTCATTCCGCTTGGGAAATATGCCAGCAGCCGTCGATGCGAATGGATGCCCCCCGCCGTCGCCGTCGCTATCTTCTTCTTCGGCCGCCCCGGTAGGTTGTACTCGAGATCTCTGGCGGTGAAAGGTATTCTACACCTTCGTCTCTCTCTCCCTCTCTTTAATTCTCGCTTGTCTGGTTATCATTCCCGCTGAGTGAGGCGCGTTGGTGTTGCCGTTGCCGACGGCCGGTACCAGAGAGAGATTAAGGTCTTGAAACGGGACGATCTCGCCCATTGCTTAACCGATGAGATCTTTATACAAAATTCAATTCGCAAGAAAGGGAAGAATGAAAAGGGTTCTTCAGGGGGTGCTTCTTTTCCTTGTTTGCTAGCAGAGAAAGAAACAAGAGAGATTATTTCACCATGGCAGAATGCCGACGAAACGGAGTTAGAGAAATGGGGAAGTGAGCTTTTCACAGAGATGAAATGTGGTCATTATTTCTTGCAACTCTCTATTATTTTGAAAACAAAGACATCTGTTTGGCGCAATGAAGAAAACAACCTTGGTTCATTTTCTGGTTTTACTTACTAGAGGTTGAAGATGATGGTTGTGGGAGTTGGGTGAATGAAAGGGAACAATAGAGAGAGGTTGGAGCTGAGTGGGAGAGGGGGTTTGTAGGGAGAAGATGAAGTTAGGGGAAAAGAATATGACAATAATTTTTTTATAAATATTTGTTAAAAAATTGAAATTTTAATATGACGTGGCATCCACCTGTCATTGGAGGTTGAGGTGGAAACGAAAGAGAGGGTAAGTTGGCAGCCAGATAAGCATTTTTTTAAAATTAACTAACGGTGTTGATAACGCCGTCAAATTATGTAACTGAAATGACTATATTTGTCATCAAACATTCAAAATTTTGGTTATTATTGGTATTTCCTCAAAAATAACTATTATTACGTTGTACCTGCCGAAACGGATCAAACCGATCTATCCTCCATTAATATATGGTAGAGTTTTGAGTACTTTTCTCCATTTCAAATTTCCTGCAACGAGAGTGAAAGTAGGAAGGTCATTTTTGTCTTTACACATTTATTATTTATTTCATATAAAAATAGCAATATCAAGATTTAAACCCGGGTCTCTTCAAACAAAGATAACAATCACAACCAGTTACACTAAACAAATTTATTGCATCCCTTTTCATACAAAAAATAGACAAAGTTAATCTCTGAAAATCAGAAGACTTTTTCATCATAATTAGCAAGCTCACTAAGTCTACCGTATGTATTTTTATCGAGCTTGATACTTCTATTTTCATAGTAGAGTTTCATGTAATTTTCTCACTTTTAAATTCCCGCTCTCTCCTTAATTTTTGCTAAAGGTAAATGGGTAATTGGCCAACATGGAAGAAACTGATTATGTAACTACTGTTGTATCCTTGCATTCTTCAATTTAAATTTTATGTTTTTTTATCTTTGTTCTTTTCTCTTTCTAACTTCCCCCGAAATTTCATCCATCGTGCAATAGTTTGCGCCTTTCACTTCCCAGTACAAGACTGTCATTGAAAATCAATCTTCAGGTATCTCTTGGCACTAGGGTTTTATTGTTAGGGATTTTAAGCTGGGCGAGTAGAAGATTTCAACTCCGATATCAATTCATGGCGAATAGAATGGAGTTCAACAATAACTGAAGTTGTAGAAGGAAGATTAGAAATTGAATTTTTGGTTGAATATATGCCTCTTGAGATAGAAATTTGGTTGTACAACGGAGAGTGGTGGCTATTGGATCTTTAGGTTTATGGTTTTTGCAATTGTCATAACCTATTTCTATCTTAAAACGAGGAATCATTGATTGATTGTTTGAAATAGGTCGCTTCTTTATTCAACCTACTGGAACTAATAGATAAGGAGTGTCTAATTTTGCGCCTTATTACTTTGATCGAGTCTATTCGTATATTGGAGATAACCCTGATTTTTTCGTTTGCTCTCAAGTTGTGATGGTCCCCTTTTAGCTGAGTTTTTAGTATATAGATGACTTGAATCAACAACTCTCCATTTCTTTATGATTAGTGACATATTGTTTCTAAAAGGAGAGCATTGAACCCTTTATATAGGATTGTGAAGTTTAAGATTTAGTTTCAAACTATCTATGGGTTGTGTGAGAATTTCAGTGAGCTTTTATACTCTATATTTCTTGACTGTCAAAGAAAACTAACCAATAGCATTTTAACAAGGACTTAATTAGCATTATGAAAATGGGGTTAATGATACATTTTTATATTTTATATTCTTAAATGATTATGATATTTCTCCGAATGTTCGACCTATATATTATTTTTTTATGTATCAACTCGATCGAATGATTATCAATAAGATTAAACGAGTTAATAGACTTAAAAGTAACATAAAAATACAAATAATCAAATATGAGCATTCCGGCCAAAGGGCCGGGTTATAAGCTAGATGGTTTATAAACTTTATATAGCCACCCCTATAATGCTCGCAATAAAATATTTACCGAGACTCTCTCGGACTTTGATTTTACACAAATCGCCACGTGTTTCGCAGCTATGTGTCTGTTTCTGTCTTTCCCATGGTTTTCTGGATCTATTCGTTCTCGAAAAAACAAATTATAAAAGCCACCCAGAGAGAGCGATCGGCATCCATCACTACACCACTCTCTCTCCGTTTCTCCAGAAGCGCCCATTTCCCATCCATTTGCGTAACCGTAACTCCTTCCTTCCTTCCTTCCTTCATCTCACCCTCCCTGTCTTTTCTCCCGCTTTCACCTTCGCCAGCAAAACTCTGATCTCCAAAATCTCTATTGCAGGGGAGAAAACCACTAGAAAGCAATGCCGTTCAAGGTCTCCACTGTTCAGTCTTCGCCTATCGACGGCCAGAAGCCCGGAACTTCTGGCCTCCGAAAGAAGGTTTCCCTCTGCCTCTGCTTCTCTTTTCCTTTGTATCTATCGTTGTCGCTGCTTGTCGCATTCCTTTGTTAATCCATTCGTACCGGGAATTCGGATGCTCGTCCTGCATCACGATTCAGTTACACTCGTGACGTGAGTTGTTGTTTTATGGTCGAACGTGGATCCGTTGCAGTTGATACTTTCTTGAATGGATCGGGCATGTAGATCCTTCGAGATGAGATCCTGTGAGCGTGATCTTAGTACAGATTAATTGATTTGGTGACTTTTGCGCCTTTTTTCCTCTTTGGTTTTGGGGGATTCATGTTGTTCTGTATATTTAGATCTGAAGCTAGTTGGTGTATTGATCTTGATCATGGTTACTGAGCCCTCACGTGTGATCCGCTATGTGCTGACTGGTCTTCTTCTTTTTATTGCCAGGTGAAAGTTTTCAAGCAGCCACATTACTTGGAAAATTTCGTTCAATCAACATTCAATGCCCTCACGACAGAGAAAGTGAGAGGTATAGTTTTTCAATAAGCTGCTGTGAAAAATTGAAATGACAAATCTGCCAGTTCCGATGTGTCTTTGGTGTCCTTGTTCTGTTCATGCCATTGAATCGTTCTAAATTTGAAATAGTGAATTGTTGCTCCCTCTGATCTAGGGCGTGACAGCTCCTAGCACTTGACTGCAATTCATCGTCCTCTGCTCCTGTGCTCTAATGTTTGGCCATTAGTTCAGATCGCTATTTCTTTATAAATTCCGGATCATCCGTGGTGAAAAAAGCTTAATGATGGCCAGCTTATGTTTTACTTTACTGTGATTGAGGTAGAGCAAACTGCTTATGGATTTTTAGTTCCATCGACGTCTATGATGGTTTGTGGAGGAATGATTTTCTTTTACATATGTATTTGCAAAGGATGGTGGTTTTTGAGTTGATTGACTAGTATAGTCGTTACATTTTATGTTGTCCAAGGCAGTTTTCTTGCTTAGAGATATTGAGCATTGGCTTCATTTTCTGCAACCTGATTTTATTACCCTATGTTAAGAAGCTTGATGTTTGATGGTAAATGGAATAACTCCTTTGTCTCTTGGTGTATGTGTTTTGATATGCAGGTGCCACACTGGTTGTTTCTGGAGATGGCCGTTACTATTCTAAGGATGCTGTTCAGGTATTACACATAACATACATCTGTGCTCGCTAAATCATTTCTCTAGTCCTTGCAGTTATCTGATTACTAATCAACTTTGGTTTTCACACCTATTGATGACAACCTGTATATAACTAGAATTGGAGGATTTAGGATGAGTGAGCAATGTGCAGTACAGAAAATGGTGCTCTTAATGTCTTCGTTAATGATCAGAAATGTTGTGTGGAATGAATGAAGAAGGCATGTAGTTGGTGTAATATATTCTAAGTTGGCTGCTATATTAAATATGATGCTTTCCCAAATGTAGTCTTTTTCCCATTTTACATTCTGGAGAACTTTGTGGTGCTGTATGCAAGCAAAGATGCAGTGAGGAATCAGAAATCATCTTTTAGTCATGCCTACTGTCATCAGACAACTTTCTTAGCTCAGATCCAGTGGAACCTAGGTCCTGGAAACATGGCTTTCTCTTATGCTGTCTTTAAGTTGAATCAACTGTGGAATAATTTCACCAATTAATGGCTCTCCGTGATGTCGGAAGGTTGACATTTGCATATTTATGGTCAATGCTGATTCATAATTGTTTGGAACTTTTGTTTGTTTCATTTGCAGATAATTGTCAAGATGGCAGCTGCCAATGGGGTGAGGCGTATTTGGGTTGGTCAGAATTCGTTGCTTTCAACTCCTGCTGTCTCTGCTGTGATTCGTGAAAGAGTTGGAGCAGATGTAAGCTACTGTTTTCTGTCAGCTCTTTCTCCCCTCACCCCATTTTTCATGATTGGACATTTGTGCCTAACTATCATGTGCCCTTCTTATGATCTTGAATGCCAGGGATCCAAGGCAACAGGTGCATTTATATTGACAGCGAGTCACAATCCAGGTGGCCCTGATGAGGTAACCACCTTAAGGTTCTTTTGTTTTTCTTTTTCCTAAAAAGTGACATCTTACAACGATGCAGTGAAAGTAGAGTTTTTCAATTTACGAAAATGCACACATTGGGACCCCTGAAATGGAGACAATTAGATTCCACTTTAGTTTTTTGTTTTATAGATGTCTTGTTATTAAATCTCAATCAAATAGGCAGACTCAATTTGGCTGCAGATTTTTTTATTCTATAACTTTGGAAGGCTTGTTCAATCATACTAGCATTTTCCTTACGAACTCTCTTCTCCAGGATTTTGGGATCAAATATAACATGGAGAACGGTGGTCCAGCTCCAGAGGGAATCACGGATAAAATTTATGAGAACACCAAAACGATAAAGGAGTATTTAACATCTGATGTTCCAGATGTAATTCTTTGCTTCCCCTGCATTTTCAGACCTCTTTCCATACATAAAGATATATACTTGGATGCCCATGTTATACTTACATCATGTTGAGTTCTTGCATTCAGGTAGACATTTCATCAATTGGTGTTACTAGCTTCTCAGGACCGGAGGGACAGTTTGATGTGGAAGTTTTTGACTCCGCAAGTGATTATGTAAAATTGATGAAGTAAGCAGTTCTTCTCTTAACTCGTCTCCGAAATGTACTCTTATCCCATATTTTACCACGTGAGTAGACAATGCATTTTGACCTTAGATTGAAGACATAAACTGTAGTAGATTAAGATTGGTGGCGGTCCTGGATAGCTAGTAACATCAAATGAAGAAGGTTATCAGCACGGTGGTTGAAATAATCAGGTGGTAGCTCGCCATTTTGTTGAAGCAAGATTAACAAATATGAAACAAAAGGAAAAGGCAAAGGAAAGGCTTTAGAATCTGAATTTTGGTAATATTGAGGAGTTTCCTCCATTTTGCATTTTAAAGTCGGGCTCTAGGATATTGCTCCTTTTTTTCTGAAAAACATATGCTTCAAGTTACTATCAACTATTAAGAATTCTCAGTTCGCTTGCATTTACTTGTCAAGTTATTTGCATACACAATCCTTGACCAAAATATTTATATGCTTTCATCCTTCCATCAAGATACTCTTGTATGCTTTTGAAATGATTGTATACGCAATGCCTTCTGGTATATTTCTATATATGAATCTGTCTGGATTACATATTCAAAAATTCAACTATTACTTTATTCCCATCATACAATTTCAGGAAGGATTCGGAATTAGTCTTTTGTTAAGTACGTAGTTTAACTGCTGATTATCTGTTCTTCAAGATGTTGACTGTGCTCTCAACTGTACCAGGACTATCTTTGACTTTCAGTCAATCAAGAAGCTGATCACATCTCCAAACTTCAGTTTTTGGTATCCTGCTGACATCCTTTCATTAGCATTTTCAACTCTGTTTTCTAATAATTCCTTGACAAATAGCTTTGATTATCATTTTGAAGCTACGATGCACTACATGGAGTTGCTGGTGCTTATGCGCATCGCATTTTTGTGGAGGAGCTTGGTGCACAGGAGTCTGCATTGTTGAACTGTGTCCCTAAGGTAGGCCATCGTAATTTCTTAGTGGGTACGAATCCCGCTGTTGCATCCCAATAATTTTACCTACAATCGTTCTGCATGTTTAAATGCAGGAAGACTTTGGAGGAGGCCATCCTGATCCCAACCTCACGTATGCAAAGGAATTAGTTGCAAGGATGGGGCTGGGAAAATCAAACACTGATGTTGAACCACCAGAATTTGGGGCTGCTGCAGACGGTGATGCAGATCGCAACATGATCCTGGGTAAAAGGTACCAAATGGTATTGAATAATGATACTCGGAATATTGTTGCAGTTTAATCTTACTGATAGTTTGCATCTTTCAGGTTCTTTGTTACCCCATCAGATTCTGTGGCTATAATTGCTGCAAATGCAGTTGAATCCATCCCCTACTTCTCTTCTGGCCTCAAGGGAGTTGCCAGGTGAGACACTGTACTTCGGTTTGCTACCTATGTTTATGTAGATGCAGGATTTTTTTTACTTTATCACATTAAGTTACAGTTGTTTGGGATTTTGTCGTTGAAGTATCGGAATTTGCCAACCAAGTCACTTGGTATATTCCAGACTGTAGGCCAGTAAGACTATTTTTAGTTGATTTGTTGGGCTAAAAGTCCGAACAAATCTTGGAAATGGGTAAATTGTAAGGTTGGTCACTAGAAGTACTAAAAAACTCATGTTTTGTCACTAAAAGTATTTTATTCTATTCCTAGTCACTAAAATTAGGTCTTCAGTTCAAGTTTGGTCACTCTCCGTTAAATTTAGCTTATGTCGCGGTCAACATTGATAGTTGACCGTTAAATAAATGATGTGGCAGTTAAAAAATATTTTAAAAAATAAAATATAATTCTTTACATTTTCCACCTCATTATCACATTTATTAAAAAAAAAACCTAACGTAAATTATATCGTCAATTGGGGGAGGGAGATTACTGAAAGAGTTTTGGTGCCTAAGAGTTTGAGGCTAGATCAATGGGATCCAAAAGGGACAACGATCTTCAGTTTGGGAGAGGCAACAATAACAGCAAGTGAATTCGGTTGCAAGTGAATTTGGGAACAAGGGAGGCTCCGACATCACCGTAACTGCCGCTCTCCCCAACGAGGTTGGATTCTTGACTTGAGTTTGTGGTGAAACCCATATTGGTCTCCGACTTCTTCGCTTCAATTGAAGCTTGAATCCGAGTTGTTTAAACTCATATTTGACCGGTGAATCTTTCTAGCGGTTAATGGCAGAGTCGATTATGAGAAGGAGGGAAACAAAACCCCATTGAGAGGAGACAGTCAACGATGAAGCCTAAGCCGATTTGGTGGTGAGGTTGCGAAGTGCGATTCAGACCTCCTTCAGGATAGCCACGGGCTCCCTCGCCGCCACTTCTTCTTCCCTTGAATCAATGGCGCCACCTCAGGATCGTCCTCCTCCTCTTCCTCCTCCAGCTCGCCCCTTCATCCATCGAATCCCGACAGTTTCTCCCGCTCTCCTACCCCAGCTTCACAGTTCGGGAGTGAATCCCCCTCCGCCGCCCCTGATCGAATTCCCTTCGGGGGAATTAGGCTGCAGGACAATCGGCAGTGACTCCCGAACCTGTTTTGGATGGCAGTGATGTGGAAACTGTAAAAGTTTAAATTTTAATTATTATTTATTTTTTAATTGCCACGTCATTCATTTAACGCGTCAACTATCAAAGTTGACCGCCACATCAGCTAAATTTAACGGAGACTAACGGAGAGTGACCAAACTTGAACTGAAGACCTAATTTTAGTGACTAGGAATAGAATAAAATACTTTTAGTGACCAAACGTGAATTTTTTAGTACTTCCAGTGACCAACCTTGCAATTTACGCTCTTGGAAATTGGGTGTTATAACAGAGTTGTGTAGTAATAGGGGCATTGGATGCATGTGTAGTTCGGCTCTGTTTCTTTTTGACAAATGTTGGTTCTTTGTCCTTAGCTAGTATGAGTCATGTTCTTGTCTGTGTGGTCAATATAATATTGACTTCTGGTTGGGGATTTCAAATCTTGAAAGTTTAATGGATGCCTCACACATCTTATATGGTTAATCTCCTATGAATCTTATAAAGCTGTATCTTCCTATGCTTCCTCTTTTTAATGTTTTTCCATTGCAGGAGCATGCCAACATCAGCTGCCCTTGATGTTGTGGCCAAAAGTCTGAACTTAAAATTTTTTGAGGTATTATATGACAAACTTCCTCTGAATGGAGTTCTGGCCGAGTCTGCTGTAATGTGTTCATATAGCTTTGCCTATTCTATCCCAGGTCCCCACTGGCTGGAAGTTCTTTGGTAACTTGATGGATGCTGGTTTATGTTCAGTGTGTGGTGAAGAAAGTTTCGGAACTGGTTCGTATTTAGTCCCTGTTTATTGAATGCTACTTGAGATGTGCTGTTTCAGAAAGTTGGAAGTTGTCTTATGGCTGCTTTATGTGTGATCAGGCTCTGACCATATTCGTGAGAAAGATGGAATTTGGGCCGTCCTGGCTTGGCTATCCATATTGGCTTACAAAAATAAGGACAATCTCAGTGGTGGAAAGCTTGTGACAGTAGAAGATATAGTTCGCAAGCACTGGGCTACTTATGGTCGTCACTATTATACTCGTTATGATTATGAGGTACTACTAAGTTTCCTTGAATAAAACCTTCGTTAGTATGTAGTCTAGTCTATATGGAACGCCAAGTCTTTAATTGACTTATATTTTCTGGTTGTCTGCAGAATGTCGATGCAGGTGCAGCGAAAGAACTGATGGAGAACTTGGTCAACCTCCAATCCAATCTCTCTGCGGTTAATGAGTATGTCCTATGTGACCTGAAAAACTCTTACAGTTGAACTTTCTCTGTTTGATAACAGTTTTCCCCCCTCTTTAAAGTTAAATGGGAAGCAATGCTTCTTCCATCCCTCCTGTTTACACTCATCTGAAGCGCTTAACCGCCCATCCCCATCTCTCTGTGATGAGATAGACTTCTATATGCGCCTAAAAGATGGTTTTGTCTGATGAAATTCACTTTATAATTTAGCATGTTGCTCTGGTCATAATGCAATACCTGAAGTAGTAATTCTGAATGCAGGACCGTGAAGGGGATACGGTCAGATGTCTCCAAGGTCGCCCACGCTGATGAATTTGAATACAAAGATCCTGTCGATGGTTCCATCTCTGCACACCAGGGTGTACGATATCTGTTTGAGGATGGCTCTCGACTGGTAAGCTCCACATCCTTTTAACGTGGTTACCGCTTGTCCTTCTCCGTTAGGAGACGTAGCCCCCATGCGAATCGAGATTCAACAACTCCTACAGTTCCATCTGCTCCATTTCGTTTTCTGTTCTCACTGCTGTTTTCTCCTGAAATGTGTGGGAATGCATGCAGGTTTTCCGCCTCTCAGGAACAGGATCAGTGGGTGCAACCATCCGCCTCTATATTGAACAGTATGAGAAGGACCCATCAAAGATCGGGAGAGATTCTCAAGAAGCACTTTCTCCTCTGGTAAACTTGGAAACTCCCCTTTTCCCAAAAAGCTAAAGCCGTTAATTAAATGATGTATTGTCAATTCAGCTTCTCATTGACATGCGACGCTCGTGGTATTCTTTCTCACGCAGGTGGAGGTAGCTTTAAAGCTCTCCAAGATGGAAGCATACACCGGCCGGTCTGCTCCCACTGTCATCACATAGATTGCTTTGCTCCATCGAACACCATTTTCCAAATGTTGAAATCTGAAGTCATCCGTTCGACAGAATTTTTATTTGTTTTGGCTACTTAATTGTCCCCTTGACATGTTTTTGTTGATGCCAATACACCCTAAATGCAGGCTGTAGTTGTTTCTACATATGTTAGGCGTGATTACGAAGCCAAAAACTCTACTTGGCATGTGAAATTCCCTCCAAAGAACGGCTTATGAGCAGTTTGTTTCTTTTTTTCCCCGGCTACAGTGAGCAGAGTCGGCAAGGTGGTGGTATTTACGTGTGAAAATAGTTTATTATTAATCCCCACACTGGGTAATGCATATCTATCTGGCTTTGTATAAGTCGTTATATTTGTAATACACGAAGTTTTACAGACTAGTCTGAATCATGGTGCATCTCGCAAAAGGTTCTAGTTGCACATACGGGTAGCTTATGCTAACCTCGGTAGTTCAGTACACAATCTCATCTTTCCCCAATATCAAATATGGAATGTCTGATTCATTCGCCACCCAAACCACTCCTTTCTAGGGCACAGCAGCAGCTTACGACCTGAACAAGCCTGTGGTGTTCAACGCAGCGGTCCCCATATCTAACTATCTAAAAAAATAATAATAAAGCAGATTTATGCATTAAAATTGCAATATTTTGAATTTGCTATTCTGGGAGGGCTTCACGAAAGGGTAATCATTTCACCAATTAGATGAAGTGGCGCGTTCTGACATTGGTCCTGCCTACCTGTGCTGTCAACAATAAGTTTGGGCCGAAATAGGCCTATCCAAGAGGGAAAGAAATGAAGGAATACTAATGTCCCTAGAACTAGTACATGCCTATGCTTTATTAGACTAACTCCAACACATTAGCCAAATTTAGCTTTCCAAATAGCAAAATATGGTTGTTTAGCTTCCCAAACTTCATTTTTACTCCAACCCTATAAAAAACTAAATTTAGCTTTCAACCTTTTTTTTTAATTTATTTTAATAAACCATACTTATTCGGCCTCTAATTTAATATTTGACTTTAATTTTTGTATAGTTCGTTATTACTTTTGAAACCAAAATATTTTATGTAATTTTTTTATAAATTTTGAGAAAAATGGACAATTAATCATTAACTTTGGGACCACTCCAATATGACCGTTTTTTATAGCCATTACTTTACGACCGTTTTTTTTTTCATTTTGTGCATCATATGTCTTTATAAACGAGAGTTCTTCATTTTTCATCAACTCATCTGAAACTTCTATCCATTTCTAAACCAAACACATTCATCATGAGTGTCTCAGATAGCTCATCGTCTGGATGAGAAGAAGAAATCGAAGAGTACGAAAGGTTTCACCACCCACATTAATTGAGTTTAATCGGCCGGAGGCTGGCTAAAGGTTCATCAAGTCGACATCAAACTACAAGTTGAACTCACTTTGATTGTGAAAGGACCGAATGTAGTCGACATCTTATGAGGGAGTACTTTTATCAAAATCTAGTATACAATGCTCGCATAATCAGAAGGCGCTTTTGGATGCATCGAATATTTTTCATCGCATTATGAGCGACATTGTGAGGTTTGACCCCTCATTTTCTCTAAGGCGTGATAGCTTTGGTCAACTTTCATTATCTCTAGAGTAGAAGCTTACTATGCTATGCGCATGCTAGTATATGGTTCTCTAGCTGGTTAACTTGATGAGTATGTGCGTATGGGTGAGAGTACCTTAATGGACGTCTTCAGAAAGTTTTGCAACAACATTATCAACATGTACGGGGCCATTTACCTCCGTGCACCTACTCATTTTGATTTAAGGATCTACTCCATAAAACTTAAGTTGTGGCTTTCTTGGAATTATTGGATCAATTGATTGTATGCATTGGGAATGGAGAAATTGTCAAAGTGGCTGTCCCAGCCAGCGGGCGGGATCACCTCATTTCCCCAGCCATTGTTGGTTTTCCACCTAAAAGAATAGCTAAATTTAGCTCTCAAAATCACCATACGCGTATTTGACAACCATTTATTTTGTGAGTTGGAGCACCAAAATGAGCTATATTTGACTTTTTGGCTTTTTAGCTCCACGGGTTGGAGCTAAACTTAGTGGTTTAGGAATGGGATGTCGTTTTGTTGAGGTCGTCGGAGACATGTTGGTCATATGTACAATTGGATATTCTGATTTCCTTATTTTAATATTGGGTATTCTTATTTGTGAGGGGGATTGGATCCTATCACAACCCTTTTCACTTCCCACCTCCCCACCGTCCATCCCCCTTCCTCTCAATCCTTCGGTGTATAATGGGCAAGGGAAAAATGGAACCGCCCACATGATCACTTGAATATGTGTAGGTTATTGTCAGAGGTTAGCACGTATCAACAACTATCCCATCCTAGCCCAAGCTTAACCTAGAACGACATTGTCTTATAGTGGTAATCAAGGTCATATTCTACTCGGGTCCTGGTACCCTAGCCTACTTCCCACCTAGTTTCTAATTAGTTAATCGGTTTTTGAGGTTTTGAGTGGAGGATATGAGGAAACACTAGTCTATAGATTGATCAAAGCTAATAGCAGGTACTTCGGGGAACTATCTCTCTCCCTAGCTTAGGGTTACTATGTATTTCTAGATACTTAGGGTCATCGAATGTGGTGAGTGAGCTCTTTTCCGTGGTTATCCACACGCCTCCGAGTACGCCTCCCTTAAACCCATGTTCCAGTCACCTCGATCTAGGCTATAGTATCTAGGGCATTAAGCTTATGGCTCATTTCAATGGACACTATCCACTGTCCATACGGAGGTTTCATCCTGGATTTCATTTAGGAAGGCTACCTATAACAGGGGTTCGGTCGCCTCGACCACTATAGGCCCCCATTCACACATCTAACCTAAACTCGCCAGATGACTCATACCCGTCTAACCCTAGAACTCCATACCCAGCACGGTAGCATAAAGTAGGCCCAGAGGGAAGATTAGGGCGACTCACCCAAGCACCATCATTTAGGATCGAGTGACATTAAAATCAACAAGACAAACACATTCATTCATTCAAACCCTAAAATATCCATACATACATAGTAAACCCTAAAACTAGGGTTTGGGGTTTAGAACCCCTAGTACCTTAGAGGACTACTCCATACAGCAGGGAAGAAGATACATGGTAGAAATACTAGAAGACTTGGGGTTGAAGAAGATGCCTACTTGCTCCTAGCTCCTCCTTGTAACACCCCGAATTTTGGCTTCTAGTTCGACCATAGTACGTAAACGGTTGGATCAACGATTACGTACGAAGAGTTGCAACCATGGACTAAGAGTAATAATAATACTATTACTATTATTATTATTATTATTATTATTATCAATATATTACGTTAAATCAAACCCTAAGTCAATGCCATCACAACCCCGAACAGAAAGAAACCCCAATAAAAACCCAAAACACCTTCCCGAGCATCATGAACAGAGTTGATCGCCACAAATCAAAAACAACAGCCACCAATCAAAGGGCCCGACCTCCTGCTCAAAATTCATCACCGCCCCTAATATTTGCCTGCCATTAATTTTTTCCCTTAGGTAATTGAGGTAGCTCATGAAATTGCGAGGATGTGGCCGAGCAAGCATGCAATGAACAAGTGGAGGGAAACCAATCCCAGGATAGTAGCGATTCAATTCAATCAGTTTTAGCATAAGGTGAGTATAAAGGAGTAAATTCTACGCCTTACGGTTTTTCAAGTATTTGCTTTGAGTATTTTCAAGTATTGAGTTGCTCGATGTATGTGCAGTATTTGATTCATGTTTGAGATTGTATGTTTATGGTTGATTATATATGCTTTATTTGAGCTATGATTTGAAGTGTATGTGGTTGAGATTATGAGTTACTTTGAAAGTTTACGTTTATGAGATATTATTTAAGTTTAAGAAACAAGTTCTTTTTAAGAAGTAACTCACCTTCAAGAAGGTGAGGTTATTTTAAGTGTTTTTAGTCGCTAGCGCCAGTCCGTTGCGATTTGAGATTTTCATATAGAGCATCAGTTATGCTCTTGAGATCTTTGAGACAGAGCAGCAGTTATGCTCTTGGGATATTCAAGTTGAGCAGCAGTTATGCTCTTGAGATTTTTAAGATGAGTAGCAGTTATGCTCTTGAGAATCGTGGAAGAAGAGCCTTCCACGATAAGTTTAATTTTAAGGAAAGCCTGGATGGCTTCTCATACGTGTGAGTTGGTCAACCGGACTAGCTAGTGAGGGATCCCCGTGTCAGTCAAGAATTTAAGTGGAGATTTGTAGGGTTGTACATGGCTCGGTTGGTCCGGGTTTAGGCATTTTAATCACCCGGCTCATGCACTACGGTTTGGGAAATATTAAACCCAAACTCACCCAAAAAAATCTAAACCCTACGGTTTGTTTCTAATTGGGTTGGGTCGGGTTGGCGATATTTTTAAGTAAAAACCCAACCCAACACAAAATATGTAATTATTCTACATCATAAACATATTTTATAATAAATTAAAAATTCAAACGAATAAACTGAGGTGAAAGGTATCAAAATTCACAAATATTGTTTGAATTTTAATAAAACTTGATTTGCTTCAACTTATGTCTAGTTTTTTTTTCACGACATTTGTTGAAATAGGCTAAAAAGGTTACAAATGAACGCATCCATAATATGATATTCTTTTAAAATTGTACACAAGAAAGTAAAAATTACGTGAATCATAGCTATATTAAATATATGTCTAAACTTTAAGTCGAAGAATGCATTAGATTAGTGAGACTTTAAGAGAAAAACATGGCGAAATATCTTAATTTTCTCATAAGTATGACTATATATGACATAAATATTTTTTTGGATACGAATTCATTCCAATAATTGGAACACGGGTTGGGTCGGGTTCTACGGGTTGTGTAATCCAAAATCCAAACCCAACCCAAAAGAAGCGGGTTGTACAAAAGAAAACCCTCACCCAACCCAAAACCTTCAATTTAGCGATAAATACGGGTGGGTTGGGTCGGGTTGGA